GCGGAGCTTAATCCTTGGGGCTTGGTGCAGACCTTCCTACAACGAAAAATCCACGTAGGAGTGGTGGGATAAGGTTGATGCCCGGATTGCAGCCCTCCAGACTCACTGTGCCGGCGTTGACTTGGAAAGAATTCCGCAGTCTGACTTTCTACGCTGCGAAGTCGATGATCTCCAGCCGCCAGAAACTGTTTCACCATGTACGGCACCGGCTCACGACCGCCGTTGACGACAAGGCACAGAACCACTGCGTACGGTGCTTCGTACGGCTCAGATCCCAAGGCCGGGCATGGACCTGAAAGCGAGAACCGCCGTCGGGGACGAAACTCTCTTTCGGCGCTCGATGAGAAGCGCGCAGAGGCGATGCGCAATGGAGTTCTCGCCTACATGACCCGCAACGGGGCCGAGCCGCCGCAAGCACAGCATGCGAATCCTACGGTTCCGATCGATGCTCCTTCCGGTTCTAATTATAATCACGAGTCATCAGCGATTGTGTGAGTTGCGGTTTCTTTGCTTTCATACCCAGAATTCTGTCGAATCCCCGGCATGCTAGGACCCGTCAAGCACCCCGACAAGTGTGTGCAGGTCGCCCCCGTTTAAGTATTCCAACCAGAGAGCCTCCAGATCCTCCTGATCTTCACAGGGGTTGGCTTCAGCAGTATGTTGGCCCCCAAGGTTGTCAAGTGTCAGCCGCCGGGTCCTCCATTCGATGGTCCGACCATTGACGGCTACGGCTCAACGCAAGAGGCCGCGCCTTCTTTGCAATGAAGTCATTATTGCCTTCGTCGGGAGACTGTGCTGCGGCAACGCATTTCTCGTTACACGTTCGCGGTCAATTGTTTTGATCTACTGGCAATTATTGTTTCTTCTACGTTCTTTTTTGGTCATGGAGGAGAAAGCAACACAGAGATATGGCTATCTCCTAACACGCCACCCCTTGCAAGCGCTCGGGTTCGACTAGGATGGTAATTTCCACAGCTGAAAGCCGTGGCGCTTCACCGTCTCAAGTCGGGGTCACTTGGGGAAGCACAAGCGCCCTGGCAGCCTCACGCTAGCCAGTGACGATACCTGCGAGTGCTGACTGCCGGCTTGATTTGTCCCAAAACGGGCAGCATTGAGAGTGAAGGCCGCCAAAGCGTTATCTTACAGTGGGTGGGCATGTGCAGTGCAGTACATTGCAGTGCCTCGCCTTGCCTTGTTGACGCCATGCACACACAGACACAGATACCCAGAGATGACTGGCGCAGAGATGCGTGCTGTCCACGGCGCAGGGGCTATGCTCTGTTCTCATCTAAGCTCGCCGCCGACCCGCTCTGGGATCCCCAGCGACTGTCCTGGAGGTGACCATTCATTTAAAATAGCCCCAGCGCCTTCAGGAAGTGCTGCTTGCGCGTTTCAGCAGCGAAAGGCTGTTCTGGATTCCGTGCTCTCTTATCTTTTCTTCCATCCATTCGGTCCTTCCTGGTCGAATTTGGTTTCCAAGCGTTCGGGACTACGGGATAATGGTGATCGTCAGCAGCTAACGTATTAGTCCACCACCCAGCTCCAATCCGGACTCGAATCGGCCATCTCTATCTCGTCATCAGAGGCACTACTCTGCATCAGCCTCACTTCAGACTCCGAAAACAAGTCAGAGTCACGATGATGCCACTTGGGACTTGCTGAAGCCTCCGCCGCGATTTGCAAACAAGCTGCTGGCCTCGAGCCACAGCGCATTGGTGCTTCCTTTGCCGGGACTACACGATCTATCTCTCGCCGCCATGGCTGCCGGACCGAGTGTGTTGCCACCGAGTCGGATCTCGTCGTGGCATGAGGAGGGAATGATGCCGCCAGCACTCCTCCCGTCAAATGCACATTTTTCAGCGCAATCGGGGTTGCGCAGTGAGGTGAACATGAGCACAAAGACGCAGCAATACCATGACTATCCCGCCCACGCCTTCTCGGCATATGCTGCCATACAAGCTGGGAGGAGCTCTGCCTTGATAGACGATGTTCAGGCGGATGGTCCACCGTCCGGTCAGTCGGGAATATATGCCCGACCACGGAGGCTCTCGAATCACAGCGATGTCTCGTTCAATTCCTCCATGACAGGCACCTCATTGAGAAGTCGAGACAGCGTACAGTCTTTGGAATCTCAGCAGTCGCGCATGCGTTCTTCGAGCTGGAGCAGCCAGACTTCATTCGACTCAGCCATGTCTTCCATGAATGGGCATGCATACTCCTCCTCTCCATCGTCCCGACCACGAAACTATCCCTGGCAGCGGCCGGCACCGATCAAGTCTTACCGACGGAAAGCGAAACCGAATGAGCTATTTGCCCAACTCCCAGGCGAGGTGTTGGAGTTGATCCTAGATGAGCTGAAGAAATTACATCTTAATCCAAAGAGCAACAGCTGTTCTACGTGCTGGATGCGAGATGTATGTCATGTAGGAATGAGCAGCCGGAAATGGCTGAAATTTGCTCGTACGGCACTCTACGAAGATATACAGCTTGCTGGTGCGGAATCTGCACATCAGAAGAAAAGGTACAAGCAGGTAACCTCGCCAAGGATTGTTTTGTTGCGACGTACATTGCGGGCGAATCCTGCGTTGGCTGCGATCGTACATACCATCAAGGTGCCAGCAATTCCCCAAGGGGTCACGTTGGAGGAGTATCACAACCTTGTGGCAACACTCGTCATGGCCTGTCCGAATCTAGAACGGTTGGTCGGCTTCTATCCAAGTTATGATCATTCTTTTAGTCGGCTCTTCCACGCGCTTTCTACGAGGAGACGACTTAAGGATATGACCTGGAATCTCGATCCGTCCCCATTTCAACGGCAACGTCGAGTTCAGTCCAGCTCCGGCACCTATGCAGGGTCGACAGTTATGCCGTCCAATCTTCTATCACCAGGAGACCTGCAGCCCTTTCAAACATCCAGCTTTCTGGATTTTCATACGGACTGGACATATCTGTCCTCTCTCACTATACACTGTTCTGCTGGAGCAACACTGACACCAGATGGACTTCTACCGATGGCCCTTTCATACCTCCCGTCTTTGCAGGTTCTCTACCTATCACACCTTCCGGTCACCGCCTTCAACGATGAGACACTATTAGCTCTGCCCCCGCTCAAAAAGCTATCTCTATCTAGCTGCCCTGGCATATCATCTGCCGGCCTCTCTTCTTTTGCAACACACGCAACAGCCCAGGCGCTTCACACCCTGACGTTAATCCACACGGATATAGACTCCCTTCCAGCATTGGTCAGGATCTTTTCGAACTTGTCGAATCTCAAGACCTTTTCCCTTGTCCAGTCCTTTCCGCCGTCACTTCCTGATGATACATTCATCTGGCTCATGCCATATCTCGCCTCGGGGTCGCTTCGCAAGTTACACTGGGACATCCTGGATGATCAATTTCACAGTCGCGCCTCGGCTGCAGACAATATTCTAGCCCGGAGCATCATGGCCGGTGGGTTCCCAGAATTGCGGGTGTTACGCATTCCTTGCGATCAAGACGGCACGTTTCAGTCCCTGTGTCGACCTCGAGAGAATGCCGATTTGCCAGGGGACAGGTACCGGGGTGGGCATAACCATTCCAGCACAAATGTCTACAAGCATGGGCATTCGACCTCATCATTCTCGGCAGATGGTTTCTCTGGTCACTCCCGTAATGGAAGTGCCACCACCGCTGCTACCACGTCCCCGACCAGCCCTTCGTTCCCAAATATGCGATCCGAGGGCAGAGAGATGAGGCTCGGCCTTCATCAGGCTTCTGACCTACACCAGGCGAGACTTGCAGCACAGGCTCGGCTAGAAACAGCCCGACGGTTCCCACGCTATGGCGTGAATGTCATCGATGAAGACGGCGTGACCATTGAGAAATACGGCATCGCAGGGTTCATCGGCACGGTGGAAAGCAAGATCACATACTGTCTTACGCCTGATGCAGGAGGGACGGATGACAGCGGTGGCCTTGTGGGGATCACGGAACTGATGGGCGACGGTGGGGAAGAATTGTTTGCAAAGACTGCATCGAGGGCGCGTAAAGAGGGCAAGATCTCCAAGAAGGAGGAAAAGGATGAAAACACCAAAACGAGAGAAGGTTGCACAGGGCGATGGAATACTTACAGCGGCCTGGTGGTGGACAAGAAGGACAGGGAGAGATGGTGGCATACCGAACGGGGGCGATGGCGCGGCGTGACGCTGTCGTAACTCGCCCTGAGCAGTCATCCATGATCTATTCTGTTTATGAGGGCTGTTCCAAATACGCAAGGCGTGGGACTAAGTCAGGATATATATTATGATATCATTTACGAGTATTCAGATACGATACCATCTAACGCTGTAATATAAGCGAGACGATTGATGACACTTTGGAGTTGGAGGTGATCCATAACACCATGCTTGACTCACATCTTGCTGCACATTTTGCTGCCAAAAGACGATTTAGATTGCCTGACAAGACCAATCAGGTCCAGACTGAGTGACTACTTGTAGTGAACATGGGGGCAGCTTGGATTTAGCGGATGATAGATATTGAAGTATCAATCTTTGCGGACTTTGGGGGTAAGACGCACACGCCGGCTGACAGCGGGCAGACGCGGCGCTGGTAGTGGCACCTATCCGCTTAAGAATTCCCCGAGCGACGTACGTCATTGGCCCCCGAATCTCCGAAGCGCAATCCCGAATTTTTGTTCGTCCCAAGATCATTGATAGATGCAATCATTAAAAGACCTTGTTTGTAGCAACACTGACTTGGACTCTTTTCTCTCACCTCATACTCCTTCTTCATTAGAAGCGACAAGACCTCCACACGCAGCCGGGTCAATTATGTCATCTCACAATCGTCGGTTCCTTGGACTCTGCGCTGCTTGTGCGCGCGACCTCGGCCGTGCATCAAAGCTGTCGAGGGTGTCGGGAGCAGCGGCAAGGTCATTCTCCTCGTGGCCAAGCAGCCGAACGGCGAGACAAATTGTAGGAACATCATCCTCACAGAGCGTGCGCGCTGCTCCGAGCCACATGAGCCAACGGGTGGGCATATCCTCAACCACGATAGCATCGCGTGCCACAGCAGGGAACCCATCTCAAGCAGACGCCCAACGCGAACAGATGAGCGGTGATGCCGAGATCCGTACACAGGTCCCTCCCTCTGCGCTGTCGTACTATGCCCTGTTTCCTCAGACGCTTTCGACCGGGCCGCCACCATCAGGTCCTTTCCACATCGATGTTCGAGCGTTGCGTCGCGAATTCCTGCAGCTCCAAGCGGCTTCACACCCCGACTTCCACCATCACGCCGCCTCGTCGGGCGGAGATGGCGATCCAAGTGGTAGACACTCAGAGAGCCGGCGCAAGGCCGAGGCCGTATCGGCACACATCAACGCGGCGTATAAGACACTGTCAAACCCGCTCCTCCGAGCGCAATATCTCCTGCACGAGCGCTTCGGAGTCGACCTGGCCGGCGACGAAGCTTCCGAGATGGCGATACCCGATCAGGATTTGCTGATGACGGTGCTTGAGGCGCGAGAGACAATTGAGAACGCAGAGTCGGAGGAGGATCTCGAGGAGGTACAACAGGAGAATGACGAGCGGATAAAGGAAAGCGAGGAATTATTGGGCGAGGCATTCGCGAAGGATGATGTTGAGATGGCGAAATCGGAGGCCATTCGGCTGCGATATTGGGTCAATATCAAGGAGAGCATAGATAATTGGGAGAGAGGCAAGCCTATCGTACTGCAGCACTGAGCACGCGTCGCGATGCTAGCTGTTACCAAGCATTCTTAGAAAACACCACTATAACACATTAATATTAATGATACCCACAAAGCTGTTCTGTTCCTGACTCCGGCCATGCACGGTTTTGTGTGGTGTTTGCACTTGAGGCCTGGTACATGGGTCTACCTTCAGATCCAGACTGGTTGAGAAAGCAGACGGACAAGATGTGGGGATCTTTTGTGAAAGATGCCCCAGATAAGTGCGACTATAAGAACAATCGGAAGTCTGTGTCTGTTCGGCTCTGTGCTTCTCCGTTGTCGTACGATTCTGACGTCGGCGGGTGCCATCTAAGCTGCACTCTGTGGATGACACTGAATATAATCGGCGCAAGATAAATTCCAAAAAACGATGTGCGAAAGTGAAGTAAATCATTTCTTACATTGCGCAACTTCCTTCATACAAATTACATCTAATAACTCCTTAAATTTTTGTTTCGTATTTACAGGCCATCAGACCTTGAACACTCAATGCCTTCCGACCTTCTTCCTTGAGCTGAATAGAGACCAAGACTGTCACACTCTATGCGATGAAAGCTCGACCACACTTCGTTGACACGGCAGTGTCATTATTTGAGCCAACCTGACTGGCCATCTGAATAGCAACCACCCCTCCAAAGGGGCCGGCTTTGTTGCTGTTTGCGATTTTGACAAGGCAAACGTTGTTGATACCATTAATCGTGCCGCTACATGTTGTGCCTGCTGGTACGGAGAACTCCACGGGGAAGTCCTCGTTGACGTTTGCTGCACGTTTGACAATGCCCATGGCTACTAATGCGCGCATATGTAGCGACCGTTGTTGGGGAGCTGCGATATTCCCGTGCTTCCCAGGCACTTGAGTGACCGTTCTCAACATCGTACCTTGGGAGAATGCGCCTGTGCCAGTAGGATCAAGAACTGCCTTGACGGGACCGGCACCGTCCGTAGTGACGATATGGAAGACGCCCGAGATTGTCCCATTGTCAGAAACCTGCGGTAGAGTATCGCCAGATAGAGCAATAGCCTGTGCCAGCATCTTGACCTTGTTGGCACCCTGGCCAGTGGTTCTCCCCAGGCCATCACTTAAGATGTTCGTCTTGCGAAAGACAGTTGTGTCAACCTCCGTGACGGAGTTCTTGCCTGGCCCTGGCACAATGCCTCCCTGGATAGCCAACGCAGTTGTGTTGCCGCCTGCATCTCCAGTGATGACCGAAACCTTGCCATGGGCGGTAACAAGGGGAGAAACAATGAGAGAAAATAGGAGTGCCTTGAAGAGCATTGTGATATGGGCTTTATCAACTTGTCGGTGTAACAATGCAAATTTTTGGTCTCTTGCAAGATGGTAGGCAGATGACGGATCAACCGTTGTATGCAAGATGTTTGAAATGCAGAGGAAGATACTGCTTCAAGAAAGTTGGCTGGTATGGCACTGCCACAGTGAAAGAATAAGAAAGATGCTTAAGATATCTTCGAGAATCGTGTCAGTTGACGCTGGATCTCTGCTCTCTTTATAATCTCTCGATCTGACGCGGTCGTCAGTCATGGCCTTCTTAGACAAAGCCGGAAGGAGTTACTGTGTCTCATGAATGCCTACGCATCTGAAGAACCCCTTCTTAGTCAAACGAGTCCTGATTGCAGACATCGCCAATGAACCCCTGGCATGATATTTTGGTCCATGCCATGGCCGAGATAGCTGTAGCCAAGTCAGAATCTTAACCTTGTTTTCAACCTTGTTGAGTGCTGCATGTTGTCATTTGGTACTGGGCCACGAGCAACCCGAGAAGTTCTGAAGCTCTCTTGAGGCCATATTTGGCTACATAATCACAGAAGTAGACTACAGTGCTTTGAAACCGCTAAGGCGACAAACCAGCAGGCCTCAGTTATCCATGACTACATCATAAGGAGACTTGGCGTGAAACTCCACAGAGCTATAAACAGAACCTTAGACACCACCGGTCGGCCAAGTGAACGGCCCCAAGGTTCCTAGCTCTGATCCTCAGATCCGGGGTGATCAGATCACAAAGTGACGATCCTTAAAGGTCGGATGTGCTACCGCGTAGCTTGCCAGTGTCGTTCAAGCACACCCAATAATGTTGAGCAGTGCTAGATGTCCGGGACAGACCCACTGGTGGCACCTGTGATGATGATGAAACGACTTGACCCAAAGTCAAGGTCCGAAGACGGAGTGCCATAATGACCAGTGTTCAGCTCATGTGCCTCTTTGTTATCCAACAGGCACCATTTTGAGACAAGCTGAATCATATGACCGGCCCAAGACCATCTTTTAGCGCGCTTGAAACGATCAGACAACAACCGTGCATTGTTAACAGATCGAAGCCGTGAAGTCGTCCCGACTGGCTCTTACACGGAGTCTGGCTGGCCCATATATGCTTGTGTTTTAGCGCGCGGCAGCGGCCCGCGGCGGGTTTCGGACGGCCCTCTTCTTGCGTAAGTCCTTGGCTCTCTAGAAATGTTTTCTTTTGCCTGTGTACTTGGTCATAATTCGGCTTGCCCAGATACTCCTCGTAAAGCTGCCACCAGGATGCTTCATGGTTCATACCTAGGTAATCATAGAGTCGACTAATGATGGCGTTACGGGCAGCATGGGATGCGTTTCAGGTAAGACTCGGGAAATTGAAATGTCAAGGTATTCACCAAATTGAACATGTAACATAAAGGTAGAAATAAAAATAGCAACGAAGTATAAAGATACCTAGATAAGACAGAAAAACCAAGATAGATTAAATGTTTCTTTTGTGAAAATGTCCTCTACTAGGTGATGGGCTGCCATTCGGCTGCCCCACCATCTCTGACGGATTGGGGTGGGTGAGGGAGGTGAGGCTGCCTGCCAAAGGAACCCCGCCAAACATCGAAGCTTAATGAGCTATACACCTCCAGGAACTTTCTAAAAAAAAAAACCACCAACAAGATATCTCCTTACTTACCAAATTTGTTCCAGATAGCTCACTTCGAGATATTTACAGTTGTCTCACAGTCGTGATTAGCTGAATTCTGCTACCAGGCTTAGCGCACTCCGATCCTGAGAGTGAGCGGAGGGTGACGATGGCTTCACCCAAGGTGAACGAGGCCCTAGCCCAAATCGGCCCCGACGACGGCCCGGCGTACGAGGCCCTGCTGTCCAATATCAAGAACCTGTCGACCCCTGCCACCATCACCCAGGACCTCAAAGCCATCGTAGATGCCTCCTTTGCAGCATCTCTCGGCATCGTCTCCACCCGTGCCGTTCTCACCACCTTCATCAGCACACTCAAAACCCTCGCAAACGACGATCTCTGGATTGCCGTCGGCACGCACGCCCTCGACATCCTCAACAGCTCCCCCCAGGCCTCCTCCAGCTTCTTAGACCAGGCGGCGACGCTCCGCGAGCTCATCGCCGAGGGCCACGAGCACAACGAGGACTTCCTCGACGCCGCCAAGATCCTCGCCGAGATCCCGCTCGACAGCTCCCAGCGCCGCGTGTCCGACGACGAGAAGGTGCGCGTGTGGATCCGCATCGTGCGCAACTTCCTCGAGGTCGACGACTCCACCTCCGCCGAGACCTACCTGAACAAGCTCAAGAATGTCATCTTCAACGTCACCGACCCGGCCCTCAACCTCCACTTCAAGCTGTCCCAGGCGCGCATCAACGACGCCAAGCGCTCGTTTCTCGCCGCCTCGCAGTCCTACCACGACATCAGCTACAGCACGGCCATCTCCGAGGACGAGCGTCTGCACACGCTGAGCATGGCCATCAAGTGTGCCATCTTAGCACCAGCGGGACCGAACCGGAGCAGGGCGCTGGGGCGGCTGTACAAGGATGAGCGAGCAGCCGGCCTGGAAGAGTTTGGCATCCTCGAGAAGATGTTCCTCGACAGGCTGCTGGCGCCCGCCGAGGTGGACAAGTTCGCGCAGGGCTTGGCGCCCCATCAGCTGGCTCTCACGGCCGACGGCACGACTGTGCTGGCGAAAGCGGTCGTGGAGCACAACCTCCTTGGCGCTAGTCGTCTCTACACGAATATCGACTTTGACCGTCTGGGGGTCCTGCTTGGCTTGGACGGCGACAAGGCGGAGGAGACAACTGCGTTGATGATTGAGCAGGGGCGGCTTGTTGGACGCATCGATCAGATCGATCGAGTGATCTGGTTCGAGGGTGGGGAGGCATCAGGAGAGAAGGGCAGTGGACGGGCAGAGGTCGTGGTAGGCAAGGAGATGCGCAGATGGGACGCGAATGTCCAGTCTCTTGCAGAGGAGGTGGAGAACGTGACCAACGCTCTGCAGAAAGAGTTTCCGGTAAGACTCCATCACTCACATCTCGATAGGGTCATATGCTGATACATTGACAGGAATTTGTGGCTGTACACCTGGTCGTTTAAGAATCAGGGGCTCTCGTACTTTGGCTTTTGATAGCCGGCGATTTGGCGTTCAGGACATGACGAAAGAGGACCATTAAAGCGGAGTTTTTGATGTATACCATGCATAGATAAGACTAAAGACGAATTACCCAGACCAAACCCTTGCAACGCTCCATTCCTAAGTCCCTTGGTATCCCCGTACGCCATGCAGAGTTTCCAGTGTATTTCCAACAGGTGCTAATGATCCAGACATAACAACGCCCCATCAGTCTAAGTCTTTCCTTCGGACGACAATGTAACCGTGGTCCAGCGCTGCATCGTCACCATGCTCCTCTTCGAACGTCTTGTCGTCGTCCTTGAACTTTCTCTTCCTCGTCCGCTCTCCATTCATCTGTAGGCGTCCGGGTGGCATAATGATATTGATGAGTGCCCCGGCGATCTTCTCCCCCATGAGCATGTAGCCGTCTGCGGTGAGATGAAGACCGTCATCCCAGTACTTCTCTCGTTCCTCCGGCCGCATGTTGAAGTAGGGAAACACGGCGTTGAAGTCGAAAGAATAGCTATATTTGGTTGTGTCAGCCCCTCGTGAAAAGCAGTCATTTACAGTCAGCAGTGACTTACAAGTTGTCAGCCTTGTGCCCTTTGATCAGGTCATTCAGTCTATTCCTTTTCGCATCCGCCCTCTCCTTTGCCGGGCCCGTGGCACCCGTCTCCGGCACCGTCAGTGCCAGCACCTTGCAGCCTTTCGAGAGCGGGACCGCCCACGTCTGCTGCAGCGCAGCGTATATCTTCTCGGGGGTAAACTGGTACGCGAGATCGTTTGTGCCACCCAGGACGATAGTCCAGTCGTACGGAGATGGTGCGCCGTCCTTGTTGGGAAAGTGCTTCTCGATCCGCCGTAGAAAGCGACCGCCGGGGTTGTTTACGAGGTCACCGGAAAGACCGTCCTCCTCCGTGTCGATCTGCAAGTTGGGGAAGGCCTTTGACAGTTTGGTACTCATAGCATCCTTGTATGGTTCGTATGCCGTGCCGTAATTGTAGTAGCCCGCGGTCAGGCTGTCGCCGAAACACAGAATGCGCAGGGTGCGCTTCTGTCGAGGGATCGCCATGGTGGAGGCAGGCGGCGGCGGGGTTGTCTTCGCTGTCGTCGTCTTCTTGGAGGGTGATTTCGTTGGATGAGGCCAGAATAGTGCTTTGAGGTGGAGAACCAGACGATGCAAAAGATTCATAGGTCCGTGAAATGGATGCTAGGAATGAGAAGGAGAGCAACGGCCCGTCCGTCAGCTCGACGGGCAAAGGCAGACACGCTGTGTGAGTGAGTGAGTGAGTGAGTGACTCTGTGACGTTTGAGGCGGCGAGAGCCCCAGGGACAACGCTGTCAGATAAGGTTAGGCAGGGGACCGAGTGGGGGGGAGGGGGGTGCGCGGTAGGGAAGGTATCCGCTACTTGGTATGGGTAGGTATCGAGGGGCTTGATAAGGCAACAACAGGCGGGGGCTTTCACTTCGAAGATGAACCGCAACCTGGAAGCTCAAGTCTGGTCAAGAAAATGTCTTGCGATATCGTCAACAGCCTGGATCTGCTTCTCGAAGATCAGGTCAAGAACAAAGTAACAAGCAAGTTTGATGTTGGTCTAATGTGGTCTAACGTAGAGTCTTGAGCTACATTTTCTTCACTACAGAAACCTCCCCTTCCGCAGGAACGGAACGTACGCAGTATATAGCATCCGCCAGGCGCTATAAAAAGGCCATGCTCAAGTGACCTGCGTCAGGCCCTCCCGTTGTCTCACAAACCAGTCTTCCTCCAGGATCATCCATCACCGACTTTGGAGGACACGTCAAGTTCTCCTCTTCTCATCAGGGCCAAGCTGAAGTTCTTCTCTGTTCCTTGGTGCGGCTGTGTATTGCGTCGCGCCCATGATTTCCCTGTTGAAAAGCCTATAGCAGCACAGTCAAGCGACTCGCGGCAGCATCCGTGCCACCAGATATCTGCATCGTCAGCATTCTGGTGTATGAATCCTTCCTCGCTGCAGAGGAAATACTAATCAAGCTCAGGGCGGCTGCAGTATCACTAAACACTTGCCCGTCCAATGATTCCTGTAGCATGAGCATGGGATAGGACGTCATGTTTGTCCAGCCACAGATTCATAGTATGGATGTTAGAAGACCGGCCGAAGACGCTTGGTATCCATAACCACTTCGCCCAGGTAAAGATATCGCTGGGTGGCTACAGGAAGCTAAGTATAAGCAAGCATCGGGACTTGGCCCTAGAAGATGCCCGAAGAAGAGCTGCCCCTGGACAAGAATGGGTCACTCGTGATCGAAGATCAAACATAAGGCGGAGGATGGATATGATATCGAATCAACCAGTCTGTGTTGAAATGGATGATCCCGTTTAAACGCCGGCGAGATGCAGGTCGCTCCTCTAGCTTCAAGCTGGACACCTTCTCAATGTGACAAGGCTTGCAAGCAGCTTTCTTATCACATTCTAAGCAGTCTAAGTAATCGCCCTAGATAGTCAATCTAAAATCAAGGTGAATAGACACACCGAAACCGATCGCCGCAGTCTTTTTGGCCGTGATGGCGTCACAGATTCAACGGCCGTGTCGCGTCTCCGTTGCCGGAGGGCTTCGGGGCGCTTTGCAGCGACAGACACGGTTAAATTGGGCTGTGTAGGCCATTTCCCGGGGCAGAGGGCAGCGGCAGGGGGGGGGGGAGCATCTGGCCCTAGCGGCGTGGAACCGGTGCAGCGACCGGCCTGCGAAGCAATCAGGTTGGCCGCTTTAGTCAGGTCGGACCCAGCCATGTGGAGTGTGGAGGAAGCTCAACTCTTTCTTGATCTTTCCTCACCTTGATCACCGTCTCTTCAGCGTCATCGTCGTCGTCGTCGTCTTCGTCTTCGTGTACGTGTATGTGTTTGTGTGTGTGCAGCGTTCTCAATCTCAGTGACTCCCCCGAAGCTTCAGGTAGAGTAGATGCATCGCTAGAGAGGTAGGCTTGTCGCATAGAGGCCAACCAGTCATGGCGAAGGAATTCGACGCAGAAGAAGGTATGTCTTAGATTTGGAAAGGGACCCTTGAGCAAAGAAGCTCTTCTGGTCAATGCTCACTTACCAATTGCCTGCTTGCTTACTTTGGTAAATAGTTGCAAAACACACTTCGACTGAAAGCTGCTGGGTCATTCTCTACGGCAATGTCTACGATGTGACCGATTTCCTGTCCGATCATCCTGGAGGCTCCAAGATCATTCTCAAACTTGCAGGCAAGGATGCTACTGAGGAGTACGATCCAATTCACCCTCCTGGAACTCTCGAGGAGAACCTCAAGCCTGAAGCCAAGCTTGGACGTGTGAATCCCGACAGTCTCGTACGGGCGAAAGGCGCCGATCAGACTTCAGCCAAGGATGCAGCGAAACCGGCTTCAGAGTCGGGCCCGCCGGTGCTCGAGGCCATGCTCAACCTCGACGACATCGAGGCAGCGGCAACTAAGCAGGTCAGCAAGAAGTGCTGGTCATATTACTACTCTGCCGGCGACGATCTGTTCTCAAAGAGCTTCAACAATGCCGTATACCGCCAGATCCTCCTCCGGCCGCGTGTCTTTGTCGACTGCGTGTCCTGTGACACCTCAACCACCCTGCTGGGCCACCGTGTAGGCACACCGATCTACGTCTCTCCGGCCGCCATGGCACGGCTGGCCCATCCCGACGGCGAGGCCGGCATCGCAAAAGGCATCTCCAGCTTTGGCGCGGCGCAGTTGGTGTCCAACAATGCCTCCATGACGCCGGAGCAGATCGTAGCCGATGCCAAGGAGGGCCAGATCTTCGGCTGGCAGCTCTATGTCCAGAACGACCGGCGCAAGTCAGAAGCCATGCTGGGGAGGATCAACAAGCTACGGCAGTTCTACAAGTTCATCGTCCTGACGCTCGACGCGCCGGTCCCTGGCAAACGCGAGCACGATGAGCGCATGCAATTCGAGGGGTCGTTCACCGTCACTGCGGCCGCGAATAGCAGCGACCTGGCGGCGAAGACGGACGGCTCCGAGGCGAAGAGCGAGAAGAAGGGCGGCGGTGTCGGCCAGCAGCTTTTCCAGGGCACGGCGGCAGACCTAACCTGGCATACCACGCTCCCGTGGCTCAAGAATCACACCGACTTGCCCGTGGTGCTGAAGGGCGTACAGACACACGAGGATGCCTACCTGGCGGCCAAGTACGCAAGAGAAAACCGTGGCACGGTCCGGGCCATCATTCTCTCGAATCACGGTGGACGAGCGCTGGACACGGCTCCGCCTGCGGTGCACACATTGCTGGAGATCCGGAAATACTGCCCAGAGGTGTTTGACGATATCGAGGTCTGGGTGGACGGCGGTATCAAACGAGGAACTGACATCGTGAAAGCACTCTGTCTGGGCGCCAAAGCGGTTGGCGTTGGGCGGGCGGCTCTCTGGGGGCTTGGAGCTGGCGGTTGGAAGGGTGTGCAGAGGACCTTTGAGAGTAAGTTCCTACGTGTGTTTTCTTCTTGTTGCTTCTGACAATGGATATCATCCCACGGGTAACTCATCACATGGGCGGCCGAGGTGGAAGAAGCTCATGGCTCTGATGCCGCCGTGTCTCCACACAAACATGCCGAGAGACCTACTTTAGAATATAGAATCATGGAGAGATGGAGAGGAGACCTGGGGATTTGCCGGGACAGGATCAGCGTGCTAACTCTGTATAGTTCTCCAGGCCGAGACAGAGACATGTATGAGGCTATTGGGAGCCAAGAATGTGGGGGAGCTGGGGCCAAGATTTGTGAGTTCAGCGCAGCGCCGAGAGACATCATCTCAGCAGGCCCACTCCGGGACCATAACTAACGATGCCGGAACAGATCAATAGTCGGATGGTGGAGAGGGATATCTTTGATGGAGATGCGGGGTTGGATAAGTCGGGACTGTGGGAAAAGGCGGCGATTGTGAAATCCAAGCTGTGATATGTCAGTTGGTGTGAAGAAATTGGGGCAGTCGATGCGATTGGATTCTCCACCATCCCATGCCGAGGAGGTGTGGGTGAAAACGGGCGATGAGGGGAAGCATGGGACAGAGCAAGTTGAGCATGTGTTTCTTGGAGCCTGGAGACAGCGCCATTCGGGCTAAGATCATGAAAACATCTCCAATGTAGAGCGCTTCTTGCCGATCTTCTCAAATGACGTATCTATTATTGGACAACACTTCAGACCATCTTCTTAATCAAGAACGCAATTGAGTATTGTCAATCACATGTCTGTTCCTTCAAATTTCAGGCCTGCCAGACACTCTGATGTGTGCCTATTTGTGGACCTTGGCCTAAGACCTGCAACTCTGTGAAACCATCTACACGAGCCGTGTAATTCGTCGTATTACGAATTGAATTCATCAAAGAGCCGTCTGCAACAACATTGACACAGATGTGTGCAGGCGAGTCACATGCGAGCCAAGATGCAAACACTTCAGATTTTATTTCGAATATTCGCGCCACAGCTCTTTCATGCCACTCCCATCGTCGAGGATTCGGTGGCCCATACGACGTTCTGTTTGGTGATTGGCTTAGGTAGGGTCTCTCCCCTGTTTTGGGAAATCACCCATATCTCTTGGGACTAAGCGGCAACAACTGCTGTGGCTTGTGAAAAGCTGTTGGAATCCAACCTGTAGGGAGTGATACCACGTAGATAGGCGAAATGGAAGAGAGACGGTGAGCTGTTCCACGTGCAAGTGGCGCCGCTGCTTCAGTAAGGAGGTGCTTGGTTTCAATAAACGGCCCTACCTAAGGTTTTGAGCATATTGTCTTGGTATTAAACAAAATGCTACAGTCGGCGACGGTCAAGGTGCCTCTTGAGTCTTGAAGCGTGTAAAAGTCCCCTCCGGTCTTAAGCATGGCTGTTTCACGGCCCTTTTAAAGGGGGACCGACAGGGACCAGCTGCGCCGGGGTGCCCTGCGCTGCCCACTTGGTTCTGCGCCGGCAAATCACCAGTTCCGATTTTCTAATCTCCGAGCTGGATCCATCGTGCCTGTGCCCGTCCAAGAATCCAGATCTTACGGCCACTGCTTCAGGGCAATCACCATCGAACCATAGGGGCAGAATTTCAGAAAGCATAAGGGCCAATCTGGTGCTTGAACAGCTCATTTGCAACTTCATCAGTCCAGGCGATGAGCCACTGGAAGGTTGTATCGGCCTGTTTGCGATTTCACTGGATCCCAAGAAGCGAGAAGGCTGCGGGAGCTGGCCGCAGACACAGACACGGGACAGCTCGATGGCCAAACAGAGGTGAAGAAGCCCTGGTTTCTTCTCTAGCGAATACCCAAGAAAGTACATGTATACAGACAGGAGAGCAGGCCCGGCCTGTCGCCGCTTGTCAGCACCTAGTTATTAGATCTCACCTAGTCGGGAAAGGAGACAGCACGGCTCTGGCTGCCTGCGCGGGCGGCCATAGGCCACGATAAACGGCTTTCCTATTTAGCTTGTCAGGTCAGGGGTATGCAAGAGCATGACTGGCTACCGATATGCGAGAGAGGTTCGAGATCATTGGCACCGGCTTCTGTTGTGTTCCCATCAGAGTCCATTGTTATTGTGCATACCTACTCTACAGTCACCCGAAAGGGAGTATTCGAGTAATCCAGGGGTCTCAGGGCAATGAGGGCTTTGACGGGTGGTGACTTACAGCCCGCGATCGTGGCAGCTGACCACCATTCTTGACTCGCGTGAGCAGCCAAACACCTCGATCCTTCGCCGTGTGCCTACCGCAGCGAGCGTAAACCGATCCGCCTGCTCCCATATTTGCCTTCTCTATCCTTTCTTTCGAGGGCGGAAAGCCCACAATTGAAGCTTCCCCTCATTCCTCCCCCATCTCCGCCTCTGGGCCTCTGGGGCCGACTGCTTGGCGGCTGCGCCGTCTCGTGCTCGCCTCCACAAAGTCAAAACCACTGCTCCGGCCAAGCTTTGTCATGGCAAAAGTTAGCATGTGCTTGCGCAAAGTCACAAGATGCCTCGGAGCAAAGTCCCATGCCATATGGCAGGCAGATTGGCTTGACAGCGCCCCATGTCTTAACGTTAGTTAGGCCAGTGGAGACTCTGCACCACCACCACCACCACCACACCATACTGGCCCCCGGTCCATGAGATGCAGATGGGCGTCAGGGGTGCCAACGCTACCTCTGCAAAGACCTGCTTTGGCCGGGGCACCCGGGGTTAGTCTGTGCGGGGCAGCCAAATGAAAAGAGGACCGATATGGTGGCAGAACGAAGTCGCCTTACACCGGATCAGGCAGTCTCTCCCGTCAGCCGGGCTAATCAAGCTCCTTAGCGGTGCTCCTCCTGGGGGGACCACTCCAGCTAGGCGAATGGGAGCCAAGCGGTAGGCTTCTTCGTCTGCCATTGCTCAATGGCCAAAACTAACGTTGAGTTAAAAAATGTTGGTGGTCTACATACATACACACTGCATACTGCAGTACATAGTATACGCTGTAGAGGGACGGGAGGGAGCATGATGATGTGATGTCCAGTCTACCACCACCAACAAGACACCATCCCATCGCCAGGTTCGGTGTAGAGGTGGCCAAGGACCCAGGGAATTGCACTATCTGATCCCGCATGAGAGGTCGTGTCTGCAAGGTGCAAGCAATCCGTCCGAGAACAGCAAGCAATGGAGGTGAGAACTGTCTTCTGATTTGCAAGACGACACGGACAGGGAGGTAGACTACTCTACCTGCAGTAGGTACAGCCCACACACATTGTCGCCTTCTGATATCGAAATCCCAGGGTTGGCACGGAGCAGGTGCTTCTCAGCGAGTAAGTTCATTGTTATGCACATGCTACAGAGTGATCGTGGTCGTGCCCCAGATGTACAGACAGATAGACAAGGGAGGCAAGTCAAATCAAGCCAAGAGAGGAGGAATAAGAATACGCAGTCTCGTGGTAGTACAAAGTCGAACACTCGTTCTATGCCGCCTCTCCAGGTCACTTTCCTCTAGTGTAAGTCCAGAGTAGTTAGTCTTGGTCGAGCAGGAGCCATGCACATCACGGGAATGACGATCTCTAAACGTTCGTGGGCCGGGGGGTGGCCAGTGATAGCTCGCCCTCTTCCCCTGCAAAATACGACACCTCCCACTCTCGCTTGTCAATCAACGACAATCTTTTTGGCCCGATTACTTAAATGTAACCATTCCCGCTCTCGTTTCCACTTTTCCACCCTCGGAAGCCGAGTGAGACCTCTCTGTCCGGCGCACGTTAGGATTTCTTATTACAGTTACTTACACTGCCTAACACCTCGAGGGTGTCGACGTCCCATTGCAGCCGCTCTCCCCCCAGTTCTCTTCAAGTCTTATTACTGGAGACCCTGTTCTGCTTCTCTCTCACCTCGATCCTCTTTGTCCTCTTGTTGCATTTCGTTCTGTAGCTCGGGCTAGGGCCGGCTAGAAGTTTTGCTTTGTGTGATCCGGGCTGACTTCAAAGTTTACAATTCTGCTTCCTCTTCTTTGGACACCTTGGAACGGATTTTATTGGGTCACGAGAGTTTTCGTCTAAGTGGAAGAGAGCAAGTACGAGCCGGGATATAAATCATAGGCGCGCCCGTTTTACACATCTCCAAACCACCCGATCACCACCAAATTTATCTTCGAGAAGCAAATCAGTCTCGTCAAGATGTCTGAAGAAATCAAGAGGGAAGAGTCGGCTCGAGTCGAGCGGTCCGAGTTCGCCAAGCCAAAGAAGGGTGGCTTCAAGAGACATTGCGCGCGGTTCTGGTGGATCTATCTGATCATTTTCCTCATTATTGCACTCCTCGTAATTCTACTGATGTAAGTGGTACCTATGAGCGAGGGAATCGATGCTTGCACCTCAGTCTACTGCACTCAGTTTTGTGGCATCGGACCAGTCGCTGACTATCATATAGTATCTTCGTTGCCGTGCCCAAGATCGCTCAGAAGAAGATCAACGAGGCTAAGCTGAACCTAGACGGGATTGTGGTGACGCAGACACAGACCAACAACTTCACCATGGCCATTAACAGCACGATCACGACTGACGGATCTCAGCATGCAACCATCGCTGCGTTTGATGGTGTCATGTACCTCGAGGACTGGGCGCCGCAGAGACCGTTTGCAACTGTTCACTTCCCCCAGACTAGCTCGGCCAAGTTCCAGGAAGTCAATGTGACTCAGTTCACGCCCATCACTGATCTGGAGGCTTTCACCGTCTTCAACACGTGGTTGCTCGTGAACGAGACCCTCCGTGTGACTGTCAAGGGTGACACTCATGTGCGCGTCAAGGGTCTCTCCCGCAACTACGGAGTCAGCTTCAAGAAGACCATCACGATGCCAGGTCTCTCCAACTTCAACGGTACCACCGTCCCTGAGAGCACTATTGCTCTGCAGGCCGATGACAACGGTGACAACTTCAAGGGAACCGTTACGATCCCCAACAAATCCCTTGTGACTTTCGAAATTGTATGTATACCAGGCAAATGATTCCTCTCTCAAGGTGAGCTCACTAACATGTTACAGGGCAATGCCTCTTTCCATAACTACCTGTTGGGTGCCGAGATTGGAACCGTCTACATTGACAACATTATTCTCTCCCCCGGCCTGAACAACTTCTCGATGCACGCCAACATCAGCCAGCTGCCGGTCCTGAACGCCATTGCCGAGAAGCCTTACTGCCAAAGCGGCATCCTGCCATTCCAGCTCCGTGGCAAGGAGGTCTTCAACCACGGCCAGCCCCTCTCATACTATGCCGATGCTCTCGCCAGTTCCAACCAGACTGTCGACATCGACATTGGCGCCGATTTGGAGAAGGATCTGTCGTACACGGTGAAGTGCAGCAGCTGAAAAGCGAATAGTAGTCGAAAGAGAGCGCTCCGTGGATAGACCGAAGAAAATTGTACATACAGCCCCTAAATCACACTCGAATTGGCGCGGGCATTATCTTTTGTAATTTTGTGTTTTTTGTCGATGAGGATGATACCAGTTGGATCGTTCTGGGCTGGATTATTGAACGACGCCGCGGAAATGAATGGCGAAGCGGGAGCATAGATTCCTAATTGGCGAAAGTCCAGTTGGTGATGTGCTCCGTATGCGAAGCATAAGACGGGCCTGTACCACACGGCTACATATGAGAATCAGAAATGCCCGCAAAGGGCCTTGTACGGTCCTTTGAGATGCACGTTTATCGTGAGATAGACCACTGAGCACCCCCACAGCTCCATATCCCCTTAGGAATGCTGCATGAGCAGCTATCGATTTCATCTCTATGCCACTGCACAAAGACTATGCTCGAAGGGGATTGTCCAATAGTGAATGAGGTTCAATTCAAATGACTAGGGTATCATTGAAGAAATTAAGGTCCACTGCTTGCCCGTCCCTGGAGTCTTTTCTGTCATCGTCAAAGCCTGGAATAGCTGAAAGTCCGTCTCCAGAGGGAAGGCTCACAGGGGTCTCCGCTGGCTGCCTGCTCGCTCATCAATCCCGTACATCAAATCTTGACTTCCTTTTGCCTGTAATCTTTGGAGTTCCTGCCTTGCTATTCACTTGCCTAGTCGAATCGCTTGATGATGCGGGAACAAATTCGACCCCTTGTCCCGTGCCTCTTGCTTTCTCCTTTTGCACTCTATCTTGGCTCCTCCTCAACTGGCCCCGAAAAGCCCACTCAGGAAACCCTTTTGGGTCCCATAGATCACTAGGTAGCGTCGTGGCATACTGTTCAGTGCCATCATTTCCATCCTCAAAGCCTGGATCCATCCCCACGAAGCCCAACAGCTTATCCATCAGCGCGGGGTTTTTGAGCGCAGCAGACTGAGCAACCCTGGCGTTGAAATGGGTGCCCTTCTTTCGCTTGAGATCAATGAACTGGTCAAACTTTGCATTGAGACCCGGCGGTGGCGAACCAGGAGGCGAAGGCGGGATGTCCAGATTTGGAGCAGTAGGAAGGGTGAGGTCCCGGAGAAGAGCCCGGTTTGCTGAATATGGCGATGTTGGTGCTTGCCCACTGGGCGATCCCTCGTCTTCCATCTCCTCCGGATACTCGAGATCTGCCTCAGCTGGAGGAAGACTCGGTCCTATCGCCGTCGCTTCTATTGGAGGAGCAGGACCAACAGCTGGGCTTGTCTGCTTGTGTGCAGCTGGGGAAGGCTGAGGACCATCTGATGGCTCTGCTGCCAGTCTCGTGGCGGAATCTCCCGCTATTTGTGCGAGATTTTGTGAAGATTCATTGATGCTATGTTTTGGTGAAGAAGGAGAGCCCTTTGAGGGGTCTATTTGAGGCTGCTGTGTAATTTGTCAACGAATGGTTCCCGGGGATGAGATCAACAGTAATACCTCGACTTCAGGCGGTGATCCGACCTCTTCGTCCTCATCACTACTCTCATATCCAACCAACGCCATTTCGAACTGAACTATTCAAGTAGTCACAAGTCATTTGGCGACAAATCCATGGTCAGGTCGGGAATTCCGAGGGACTTCAATGGTCCGGGGTCGACAAATAGAGGCATCACGTGATTTCTATGCCTGAGGCATTAGCGTGTGGGAGGCAGCATTGGGGACGCGAAGCTGCCGTGGAGCTTCAACGTCAACCTCCCAGCTCAACCTCATCAAGCTTCGATACTCGACATCTCTCCGACCTGACAACTTGACAATCTTACAATCTCCACAGCCGAACATCAGAAAATACCTTCGTCATCAAAACCCTCAACTTCCTCGCTACTGTCGAATCTCAGCCATGGACCATCGACCTCAAGCTTGGGGCCGTGTATGTGCCTTTCCGCTTCCGGAGCTTCTTCAGTTCTATCCAAGCTTCTTGCTGACGAATCTTACCTGTTCCAGCCCAGAGACGATGTTTACGGAAACTACGATGCCTCATATCTGCAGCAAGGCGGCCCGAAGAGCGCAACGCAGTCCCCAGTCGTCACCGGCACATCAGTAATAGCAATCAAATTCAAAGACGGCGTAGTGATGGCCGCTGACAACCTGGGTATGCCGCCCGTCTCTCCTTCCAAGACTATCAGCCGTTGAAATGTAATCAATCGAAGCTAACCAACACCCACCGCAGCATCTTACGGCTCTCTCGCCCGCTTCACCGACGTCAAGCGCCTCCGCTCCTTCGCCAACACCTCTGTGGTTGGCTTCTCAGGCGACGTCTCAGACATGCAGTACCTCGACCGCCACCTGGGCGAGCTCGCCATCGACGAGGCGTACGGCAACAACGCCTCCGACGAGGCCATCTCGGCGTCCGCCAAGGGCCTCAACGCCGCCAACCTGCACACGTATCTGGCCAAGCTCTTCTACAGCCGGCGCAGCAAGTTCGACCCGTTGTGGAACCAGATCCTGGTGGCCGGGCTGGACGGCGACGGCGTGCCGTTCCTGGCCGCCGCGGACCTGCGCGGTACCACCTTCACGAGCCCGTCGCTGGCCACGGGCTTCGGCGCCGCGCTGGCGCAGCCCATCATGCGCAAGTACGCGCCGACCGAGGAGGCCGCCGCGCAGCTCACCCGCGAGCAGGCCGTCGACGTGGTCAAGGAGTGCATGAAGGTGCTGTTCTACCGCGACGCGCGGTCGCTCGACAGCTACAGCCTGGCGGTCGTCACCAAGGAGGGCGTCGAGCTGCAGGAGGACGAGAAGCTGGAGAGGCAGAGCTGGGCGTTTGCTGAGCGAATCAGGGGCTACGGTACGCAGGTTGTGTAAGCTGTCGGGCAAGCGGGAGATTTGGGGGATCATGGCATGTGGAGTGAGATGCACACTAGATGGTTGATAGATACAATGGCGTGACAGACGTCTTGAGGGCACGAACGGAAATGTGGTCCTTAGAGAGTCCATGAGAAAGTGCACAGCTACAAACCTCGGGTTCTCGACGCGAGGCTGTATTGTAATATTACACATTTAACGGCGAAAATTCGTATTCATTACATCAAATATCGCTTTACATATCGATAACCTCTAATTAGAGGTACCAGTGACACTACAATCTAAACAGCTTGATATCTTCCTCGAAGCAGCCTCTAAGGCTCTCCTGGGTATGTAAGGCGTCTCTTCAACACGGCTTTTAGCCGTCCACGCCGGCAGATGTTCCCAAAACGTCGCCATTCCTGTCAAGGCCATTTTTTCCATATCTGACGCACCAACTCCAAATGCGACTTGTACTGATACAGGTAGGTTTCTCCTATTCCACTCAGGACTCGCTCACTCAACCGTGACAGACTTCGCCAGGTTACGCGGGAAGTCGACGTTGAGACCCTCCATGACTGCCAACCAGTAGGCAATCAGCTGCAGAGGGATGACGTTTAGAATACCCTGTAGAACATCGACAGTTTTGGGGATCTCAATCTTCTCAGCCTGGCTGGTCTTGAACTCCTCGTCGGCAGGGTTGCAGATAACAATCGGTTTTCCACCACGAGCGATGACTATATGGAGAATTAGTAAAAAAAGAACAATTGTGAGATCGCCAGACTACACATACCTTGCTGATAGGCGTTCAAGCTCTTCTTGAAGAGATCATCCCGTGTCAGGATCATGATGATCGGGAGGTTCTCGTCAACAAGGGCCAGGACACCGTGCTTCAGCTCTCCAGACATAACAGCCTCGCAGTGCAGATAACTAATCTCCTTGATCTTCAGAGCACCCTCCAGCGCAGTGGAGTATTGGCTGCCACGACCCAACAACAGCAGAGACTTTTGGTCCTTGAAGGTCTTTGCGCAGAGCTCCTTGATGTACTGATCCTGCTCCAAGACGTGCTTAATTTGGTCGCTGATGTTGGACAGACCCTCCATAATCTCCTCCCGTCTCTTCTGCTTGCTGGCGCGGTCCTCGCTAAGGCTCAGCGCGAACATGACCATGGCGATGAACTGGGAGGTGTACGCCTTGGTAGAAGCAACACCAATCTCGGGTCCGGCATTGACATGCACACCACAGTGTGTCAGCAGAGAGATGGAGCTACCCACGACATTGACGATACCAACTGTCAGAGCTCCGCGCTCAAGGCAGTAACGCAGGGCCATGAGAGAATCGGCCGTTTCTCCGGACTGAGAGACGAACACGCAGGTATCGTCACGGAAGACGGGTGCTTGCCTGTCCAGGAAATCGGACGCGAGCTCGACAGCGATGGGGATTTCGGACAGCTCCTCGAAAACACCACGAACGGCCATACAGCTGTGGTACGAGGTGCCGCAAGCAATGAAGATGATACGTCGGCATCGGCGGATCGTGCTGATGTAGCTGCGAAGGCCACCGAGAGTGACCTGCTTGTTGGCAATGTCGAGGCGGCCACGCATGGTGTTGACGACCGACTCGGGCTGCTCGAAAATCTCCTTCTGCATGAAGTGGTCAAACTTGCCCTTCATGATCTCCTGAAGCTCCAGCTCAAGGGTCTGAATGGTGCGGACGTTGCTGCTGCCATCGGCCTTCTTCAGGCGGTGGATGTTCAGCGAACCCTCGTGGATGTGGGCAATGTCGTCATCCTCCAGGTACATGACCTTCTTGGTGTGCTCAACGATGGCAGACGGGTCGGAAGAGAGGAAGAACTCGGTGGGCATGGGCATGCCATCGTCGGTCATGAAAGCTCGGGACTGGGAGCGGTGGAGGAGGGACTTGTCGGGGGCGCCCAGCAGGTTGGGGCTCAGGAAGTCGGCGCCGGTCTTATTGGCGCTCTTCTTGATGGCCACGTTCTGGGCAGCGGTCTCGGCGGGGAGAGGGGTGTTCTCGTCGGCATACTCGACGTCGACAAAGTCGACCTTCATGCGCTTCTGGGTCTTGACACCAATGACCAGGGGCGAACCTTTTCGGGCGGCGACCACCTCGTGGGGATAGTGAACAGACTTGATCAGAAGACCGTAAGCACCCTCGAGCTCGTTGATGACAGCCTTGGCCAGGTCGACGAAGCCGAGAGTCGGGTGCTTGTCGTACAGGTACTTGGCGAGCTTCGCAATGCACTCGGTATCCGTCTCTGTCTCGAACTTGAAGCCCTTGGTCTGGAGGAGGGTCTTGAGCTCCTTGTAGTTGGTAATGATACCATTGTGGACGACGGAGAACTCCCACGTAGGGTCGGATCTGCAAAGAAAAGATTATGTGTTAGCTGGAGCGGTTTTCCCCCGAGAAATGCAGTAAATACAAGGTATTGGCAGTCAGTGGAATGAAAATCTTACCTGTGAGGGTGGCAGTTCAGGCGAGACGGGGGTCCGTGGGTAGCCCAGCGAGTGTGGGCAATGCCGGCATGTGAGTCGAAGACCTTTGTGAGGTCGAGGTCGGCGCCGTCAATGAGCTCCTTGAGCTTGGCAACCTTGCCCACCTCCTTGAAGGCAAAGACCTCGTTCTTCTTGTCGCCGTCGATGGCCAGACCAGCCGAATCGTATCCTCGATACTCGAGACGGGAGAGACCTGGGGGGGTTCAACAGTCAGCTGGAGGGGGTCCCCACACACCACACTTTGCAAAACAGCCTGTAGACTGCAGCTGATGGAAAAGCCACGTACCATTAATCAGGGTAGCAAGAATAAACTTGCGGTCCTTCTCCACCAAGTAGTTGACGTAGCCGAAAATGCCACTGTTGCGAGAGAGAAACCCGAGGTTAGCAAGCAATGCCTCAGATCACAAGCAAGGAAACCATCTCGACAGCTCCAAGTGTCGGTCTGGCCAAACCCCGCCATCCACAAGAGCCCGCCCGGGGCAGTTGGATAGCCATCCAAGCAGACCCTACAGCACAAAAAAAATATGCCAGATCTCGTAATGGGATCGGTGGGAGACGTGGCGGGGTCTGAGGATGTTGTTGAAGCAGGGTTTCTGGGCGTACGTACCACATGATGAAGGTGTTCTGTTGTTGTCGGGTCAACCGTCGAACGGCTTTGCCTTGTGGAGGGAGGAGGGAAGCTGCGATGGATGGGGCGGTCGGTCGGTCGGTCGGTCGGTCGATGGATGCTTGCTGAAGAGGAGGAGGAGGGAGGGTATCAATCAAGAGCGAGAGACTGCGCTGGAAGAATGTCAAGAGAAAGAGAAGAGAAGTGAAGTGAAGGAAGAGAGGCAGATGGATATGAGGACAGGAGAATGTTGGCTGGCCTTGGGGGAGGGATTTCGTCTTTATGGGGCTGAGGAGGGGGCCACCAGCCAGGGAGACAGAGAAAGAGAGGAGCTGCAGGTACCTACCTAGGTAGCTAGGTAGCTCCTAGCGCAGAAACTGCAGTGTGAGGTAAGGTACGAGGTACCTAGCTTCGCCTGGGATTTTGGCGTGTCTACCGGTACTGCATAGTAAGGTACATGTAGGTATGCGCTGGTGGGTGGTGGTGGTGGTGGTAGTGGTAGTGGTAGTGGTAGTGGTGGGGAGCCGGTGGGAGGCAGTGAGCGGCCAAGGGGCAGGGGTCTGTGTCCTCCCAGCTGGCCTCCCTCCTCCACCTCCGCCTGGGCATGGCTTCTCTGTCAAGCAGGTTCTCGCTTGTTCCGGGAGCAAGCAGCAGCATCATGATGATCATCCTTACTCACATCCTCATAATCCTCATTCACTATAGAGTTCCAGGGTTGACTCATGTGCTTTCTTTCTTTCTTTGTTAGTTTGTCTATGCATGGAGCTGTTAGTCACCAAGGCGGGTTAGTCGACAAGTACGTCGTCTTTGTTTAGATCGCCTTTGTCTGGCTACCTAAGCAGACCAACGCAAATACCTACTGCATAGTATGTCGTACCGGCAAGTATATAGTGGCTTCTACCATGTATGGCAGCAAACCATGTCTACCTGGGTAGGTCTGATGGGATGGCATGTCTCGGGTAGCCACCACACAGAAAGAAAGACTGACAGAAAGACAAGGGCTCTTCACCATAGGGGGAGAGGAAGGTAACAGGTAGGTAGGCAAAGAACATCATCATGCAGATACCCTGTTTCGCATCATCAAAAGTGAAGTACCTCTCCACACATTATGAGTGGCAGTCTACTTGAGGCACGCGCACCCTGCTCAAAACACAAGACAGGGGCCACCATCCATCCAGTGACATAAACTCTACAGGAATGAAGGACCAGCTGAAGGAGAAAGGGCTGACCTTGTCCCCGGAGATGGCATTGTCATGCCTGCCCGAGCTCACCACTATTTGGAGTGATGATTTACCTGCTGCATAGAGATTCAGGTGGAGACGGTATCGTCAATCGATCAACCCAGCAGCTAGCTACTGTAGCATCGTTAATATCGAGTCCGATAATGCGTAAGTGCCGTGGTGAACGGTACTTGACTGTGCTGTGCCTTCACCTTACAGTACAGTACGGAGTAAGGTCAACTTGCCCTTGACTGACGACCCATGAGACCAGGTTTCCCGTACCTTAGCTCCGATCTCGTATTTGTGGAGTGTTGCCAGCCTCGTCTTCCGGCTGCCTCGCAGCAAGCCATGAACAGTTAGCAGTTAATCCGCTCTCCCTACCGTACAATCAACTGAATCAATCGCATTTTCAGTCTGACTTGCATCGTGCCCAGGTAGTGCCGTCTCGTCTCGTCTGTGCCATCGCCTCCCCCACAGTATTCGTCCCTTCCACCACCCTCGTTCGCGAGAATGACGACAAACTGGCGAGAAAGGAAAAACAGAGATACGATAGGCCCACAGCGCGCCCTGCGGTAGTGCACTGAATCTGATGCAGAGAGACATGTTAAGCAGGGCCACTAGCAGAGCCGAAGCCGACTCGTCCAGGTTAGTAGGTTCGCAGGTTCCGGCTTGTCTTGTCAGGTACGCAGGTACGGAGGCGTTGGGAGGGTCTCACAGCCTCAATTAAAGGGGCAAGTGGCCGATCCGTCTCCTAAGAATAGCAGCCCACGTTGCTAGTGCCGCCCAGTTACGAAAAAAATAGGGCCCCCTTCTCCAGTCGTATGGTTCCCCTGCTACCAAAAAAAAAAAAAAAGCCCACGTCAATAACATTTACTCACTACAAGTGATCTGAAGAAATCCAGCAGACGTCACTTTACAGGGGACTGCTCGTTTGGGTGGCATCGCGCCATCTCGGCTCTGAGCCAGAGATCGCGACTTGGCAATTGTCACTGGAGACGAGAGACGCTCGCTTTCTCGGTTGTCGGTCATCATTGAACTCAGGCCATTACTCAGGCCAGAAATCTGAAGCAGAGAAACACAAAGTCAAGCTGCTGCACGTCAGCGCTGGTCATGTCTCAGAAATGAGCTGGACTGAACCATGTACAGTACTGTACGTAGATCCTACTGAAGGGACCGTGCTGCTCCAACGGCATGTTACTAACTAATGTAGTAACATTCACTTTAGTGCCAGTGGCACCACGCCGTCTTACCTCGCATTTCACCGTTGCGGGATGGTCCTGACTCCCGAGATGCAGACTCAGGGGACTGACTTGACTTGTCGAGCCCCACGGCCGGCGGCAATGCTGCAGGCAAGGTTACTTCTCGAAGACGAAAAAGAGCCTCAGACACGTCTAGGGCGACGGCGGCGGGCTGTCTATCGCCACGAGGCTCTTCCATTGGGTCGTATAGCTGCCCTCAGTGTGGCTGTGTACATGCCAGTCTCGCACCAGAATACTGACCCTACAGCCGCTAGAACATCAATAGTCAGCCTCGACCTAGAGCACATCTGTTCCAGTATCTGCATTTTCTTCAAGCCTGACAGCCATCGTTCGCTTATGATGCGCCGGTACTGAAGCTAGTGATTGTCTTACGTGCAGAGCTACCTAACTGAGCTAACTAAGGTTTCGGGCAGTTCAGGTGAGGCTACTTTGTATGATGGCACAGGAAGTCTGCCTCTTATAGGCACTCTGAGTTGGTTGGCTGCCTCGCGTTCAGGTCTATTGCGGCTGAAGCTGCTGGGCCGCTGTCTCCTGACATGCCGGTCTCAGATATCTGTCTCGAAGGGGAAAGGTAGTGCGGGACGGCTCAAGTCGCTTCAGGATTATAGCTAGGCATATGATCAGAAGCATTTTTCCATTGGGTTAGCTCCTGTAGAAACCAACATGGTCTGTCTTGGATGCAGACGACGACACCACCGTAACCTCTACAGTCTTCCGTATACCTGTGCTCGGGTCTCGAGTGTCTACGTCTTGGCCTTCGCTTCTCAAATCCCGTAGCTCAATACCATTCTTGCCCTCTGGGGTAATTTGAGCGGAGGAATCGTTTGTGGCGGTCGACGCGATATCAAGACTTGATGCCGATCCCCCATCCAAGGTAGCACGGTCACTCAGGCGAGCAGAAGGGATTCGCGGCCCTTTCTGCTCATGATAGAATAAAGGCCCCTCGCCCGCAGCAGTGTTCGCGCCATTGAGGGTGGGAAACGATGACGGCCAGATAAGATTGCGCCATGAAGACAGCGAAGATTCGTTCACGCCGTATATGACTGCGTCAACAACGCCCTGGATGACAATGCATGCCTTGTCGACTGTCTGCAGGGCAAAGGGAGCTGCGCGGCCGGTCGTGACCTGGTATATCCGTATAGATGTCGGTAGCGTCCACACCAGCATGTATGCAAGAGGATACATCAACATCAGGCGGGCAAGCTGGATTGAATTAGCTAGACAGCTTCGGTAACATGGAAAGGATATGACAGAGAGACATGCCTTCTTCAGACGTCGATTCGTCCGCGGTAGTTGCGATGTCTGACGTGATACACGAGCCTCTGTGCTATGAGCACCATCGTGAGGATCTAATTGAGGATCTGTGCGAGTACTCGTGGCATTTCTGGTCCTGTTGCTGCTGGATGGTCCGCCGGAAGAAGAGTTGTCAAAGGAAACAAAGCGGTTATGCGCCCGAAAGAGAACCAAGTATAGTCGAGCGTACATCCCGAGCATGATGGCGATGATAATCCACCGAGGGACGAAATTGACGAGCAGCCGGACCTCGTCTGACGTGAACCAGCACCCTATAATGAATGGGAATTAGCCGGTTGACTCATATTTATTTTTCTTGCCTTGAACCCACTCACAAGCACCGATATTGCCGTACCCAGTTACTCCAAGACCGATTGACGCCCACAGAATGGAGAGAAACCACGGCAGCGTGAAGAGAAACCAACAATGATCTTGGACCCAGCTAGAAGCTCTCTTGTGATCGGCCAGGATGAAATAGGTGCAAATGGCGATAGTCAGGACCCAGTAATCAGTCTGGATCACAAACACTTGAGTCATCCATCCATTAAAGCTGCAAAAATGAGCCTGTTCGTCGGCGCCGATATATCTGCCGCCAATATTCATTGCCGAAGAAGAGAGAAAGTTCAGTGCCATGACGAGATCACTGATTGCAAGCCCACTACTCATAAAGTCAGTCGCATATCTCAAGACTCGGTGGTCGTTAAGCGCACAGAATGAGCTGGTGCCGAAAGCTTCTAAGAGATTTGAAGCACTGCGCCCTATTAGTATCCTCTTGGGATTTCAGTCGGCAGCACGTACAGCATAGCTGAGCATGATCCACCCAGCACCAAGGGTAGAAAGAATAGACACCAAAAGAATGACCAAACTTTGGATGTGAGTTTGGTCGGCTCTCGTAGGCGCTGCCAAGGCATCCCTTGGTGCGACATCGAACTTAAAGGGCAACCTCATCCTTTCGACCTAAACATTGATCAACCCCAGCGAAGTAAATGACGGTCCTGTAGCAGACATCGAGAGATCATATACTGTTGCTTCAGTCCGATATCACAGAAGTTCTTTCCCTGAGACTGGGTTTCAGAGGAACAAACCTCGCTCGATATAAACAAAACCTGGCTAGGTGGATATGTGACAGATAATTCTGCTAATACTTCCCCCCAACGACACATCTGAGATATCTTTGCAACAACACCCCACATCCTTGCTTTTCAGGCCTCATACAGCGTTTCAAATGACGGG